GTAAGGGCAAAAATGGAAATTATGCCTGAAAATCCCAGAAAATGAGAAATGGTAGGTTAAGGCCTAAACACTTTAGAAAAATTCCAGAAAAATAGGAATAAGGTTCAGAGGCCTGTATGAGGCTAAAAATGACGAAAATGCCCCTGGAAGGAATTTGTGGAATTCTCAGGGTTTTGACTGATTTTGAATATTATTGAAAATGAATTATTTAAAGTATAAGGAGGCCCCATATAATTGGAAGAAAAGGGGAGAAAATACTTGAGGAATTATCATGGGTTTTAAAAATAATTCCGTCTCTAGAAAGCGAAGAGGTTGGCTTTAATGGAATTTAAAGCCTATTTATACAATATCCGGGAAAAGTCAAAGTCAAATGTCTAGAGGTTGACTTTTGACTGAAGAAAAATTAGAAGAATTCCCTGTGATGAATATTGGTACCCGAAGATAGATTCTCGGAGTTGTGGACCAGTAGAAAGAATTCGGTCAAAATCACTCCGAAAAAAATATTATTAATTATTTTAATTATTTTAATAGAAGAACAAGGAAAGAGCATCACTCTCTCTTTGGGCATGTTATATGATGTCACGTGAATTTATTTGAGGTGAGAAAATAGTGCCAGAACATGTCCCAGTGATCCAGGGAAAGTCAGGACCTGAAAAAGTACCTTATACGGTGCAGAATGGCAAAATAGGTGAAGAAATACCTAAAGGTGGTATTTTGCACGAATTTTATATTAATTTCCTCCCTATTTTAATACCTTAATGATAAAAGAATATGAAGGAGACAAGTGCACGGTTAGATGGGAAAAGAAGGTATTATGTGTACGACTAGATGCAAGACACGTGTATGGTCAGATGTAAGACACGTGTACGGTTGGATTAAAGGCATGTTGATTGATGATGTAAGCATGATGTCATGGGACACTTGTCACCACAAGATTAAAATAGAAAATGGACGGTCCAGATCAAGCCACATATTTTTAAGATCAACGGCCCAAATTCAGTCTTGTTTTCTATAAATACCCCTCCCCTCCCTCTCATTTCGTCCTAAGCCATGGAAACCTTGGAGAAGCTCTGGCAAAATGGTTTCTAGAGAGAGAAAGAAGAGGGAGAAAGAAAGACCAAGTGGTCCCATGCAAGATCAAGCTCTAAAACAAGGTATGTTCATGGTTTTTGATGTAGTTTTCACTACCCTTGTTGTTGTTGAGCTTGGTTATGGATTTTAATGATTTGTGGGAGCTTGAAACTCTAGGGGGACATGCTGCACGAAATTCTTAAGAATAGAGGAAGATGAAATTGATGTTAGAATAATGTTTAAAAGCTTGAAAGAAACAAGAATCAAGTGGTTTTATGTTTAAATTGGTTGAATTTTCTTGATTGTGTAACTTGAGTAATATTTCGGCCAAGGCTAGTTCTTGGGGCTAGAATTGGATTTTGATGCTTCCAATGTATTTAAAATGAAAAATTGTGCGGAGTAAAGGTGAGAAAACAAGTTTGGAAGCATTAGAATTGAAAGCAGAATGTTAAGCCCTAAGACCTTATGTTCAGCCAGATCAAGTTGGGTAGGGAGAACTTTGATTTTGATTATTTTGACCTTGGAAATGGATTCTACATGTAAAATTGTGTGAGAATAGTATGTGAAATTAATTTTGGGAAGGTTGGAAATCAAGCTTAAAAGTTAGAAGTTAATATAGCTCAAAGAAAACAAAGTATTGATGTTGTTGATTACCATGGTTCTAATAAACAAATGGAAATGATGTGTTGATGAATTTAGGGCCATGAGACATCAAGAAAAATGGATAGCAAAGGTTGAGCAAGCAACCTTAATAGTTGGAAGCAAAAGGGAGCAAGAAGAAAACTTAAAGATATAAGGTAGCGAACTTACCTTTCTTATGTGCTTGATGTGTATGTGTGTATGTGCTATGAATGCCATGATGTGACTAAGCTATGCCACTGAATTATGATTGCTATGTTTAGTTTAGCATGTCTTGGCATTATGTTATGTGAATATAAATGAATTGGCTTACTTTCCATGGCATTTCACTATGCATGAATGATAAAGTTATGTGCACAAAAGCATGTCATACACTTGCATGCATAAATGGTAATGTTTGCTACTGAGATTCTCCTGAATCTCACCCTCCCTTAACCAACCATACTAGGTGCAAAAGGATGGGAGAAGAAATCAAGAAGTGGAGCAAGAAAGAGGGGGAAAGAATTTAAGAAATGTATTACATTACATTGTTCACTGTGTATACCAATATATGTTGTAAATGTGTCATTGATGGTATGTGATGATAAATAATGATGTTGTCTTGTGTAATTAGCTATGATAATGTATGTGAATGGTTAGTGTATGAATGGAATGGTATATGTATGGAAAGTCTTAATCATGAACTGTTAGTGCATGTTAGGGGATAAGCTATCCCCAATTAAGCAACAAAATAGTAACAGAGTAGAAGTATGGCAAATGACTGACTCCGCCCGTGAAATTTGGCATGATTAAAGTACACATCTTGAGCTTTAAGACAAGTGGTAGATTACTTAAAACGGATGTGTGTGCTAAGAGTTATGATTGCTCAAAGTTGGACTGAAAATTTGGAATTTAACTAGTAAACAGTAACCCGAGAACCAATTACAAAGTTCAATTTGTGGGCTTGTTTTGTAAATTGCTTGAACTATAATGCTTCCAAACGAGTACTTTAAGGGGTTAAAGGTAGGATGTTTCATGATGCATCTAGTACCCTAAAGTAATTTTTTAAGTACGTCCAGCACTGTAAAGTATTTTTTTAGCTGCGTTCAGCATCTCAATATTTTTTCTAGGTAAGTCCAACACCTAATATTTTTTTCTAGCACCCTGAAGTTTGTTTTTTTTTTTTTGCCTTGGTAGGAAAAAATACTTCAAAGTGTTGGACACACCTAAAAAATATTTTGGGATACTAGATACACCACAAAATATTTTGAAGTATTTGATGCATCTGAGAAAATATTTCGGGATGCCGGATACACTTTAATTTTTTTTTGAAGTGGTGGAACTTAAATCTTTTGCCTAGTAGTTAAGAAAAACTTCCCTATTTCTCTCATTTCTCGAACCCATGCTGATATGGTCTTCCTGCAAATTTGCAATGACCATGAACCGTTTGAAGAAAAATAATGTAGGAACTGTGATATGGCCAGCCAGTAAATGTTATTTCTAAAATTTATAGGAGTTTATCGACGATGTGAGGTTGGCATCTTGTTAAGCTATGCTATACCAAACTTTCGTCCATGCCTCGTTAAAAATGTCACATTTTCGGCATCGGTTTTCTCGATAAGTGACGTTGAAAAGTTTCAAAACATTATAGAAATGTTACCGTCCTTTTTTAACGTTGCTTTCTCCAAAAACCTACGTTAAATACCGACTTCATAAGCATGTTTTGCTGTAATATTTGAAACACAATTAGCATTTAATATTTAGGTACTGATAATGATAGATGCCAAGTTTTTTTTTCCTTGGTATTTATGTGCTTGTGTTGTACTCTTCTAATTTGGAAGAATTATTAGGAAGACTTAAGGAAATAAAATAACTACAAAAAAGTCACAATAATAAGTGAGACGTTATTATTCTCTGCACTAAAACTTGTTATTACAAGATACTCTATTGTCAATGGGATTTTTTTCATTTTATACACTAAAACTGGTTTTTACAAGATATTCTATTGTCAATGGAATTTTTTTAATAATTATGTTTCCTCATTGAAACTTTATACTAATTCGCCCTAATGTTTACCTGGTTTCTCTAAACCACAATCTCATTGGGATAGATTAAAATACATTAAGAACCTACAAGGTACCTTACATAGATTGAATAAGTGAATTAAAATTAGTTAATACGTTTAAAATTTATTCTCAACGAAGTTTATTATTTAGAGGATACCAGGTAGAAAGCTGTTTGGTACATTAAGAAATATTATAGTAAATGATATTTAGTCGAAAAAATAATTCTAGGCAAAAGCTTTTGTACTAAGAATGGAGAAAAATAGATTGCGAACACACCTTTTCATGAAAACTACCGTGTGAAAATATTGAATATTTCAAAGCAAATCTGAGTGGATATTAAAAAATAAGTTGTTGTTATTATTATTCCTTTAACACGAGTTAGTAACTTATCTTGCTAACATAAGTTATTACGCTAAATAATTCATTTTCAATATTTTTGTTGACTCGAAAAACAAATAAGTGTATGAAATATCAATCAATCACATATTTAATGATCATGAAAATTTCAATTATTTTAAAAATTAAAAAATAATCATTTATACGAAATATATATACGTAATAATGTTTAATAATATAATGAAAATAATAAACATATATAGGATTATTTCTATTCAAATAGAAGTAATTATTAAATTTTAGAAATTTATGTAGTAATTTTTAATGAGTAGGGATGACGGAAGAAATTTATAATAATCCTACAATTTGAACATAAATTAAAAGGATAGTTCATTTTGAAGCGGAAATGTTATTAAAGAGTTCAACTAAATATAGCATTTGACTTGGTACATAACAAAGCCAGTCATAATCCCCTCACGTAGGAGTGTTTGGAGGACAATCTTCAACAAACTAACACGCCCATCATCCTTCTTACCATTATCGCCCATCTTGGCATAACCAGCCTTTTTTTCATTCAGGTAACGAAATCACATCCCCTTTTACTGTTTTTTTTCCCCCAGTTAGTTTCTCTCTTTTCAAGATCCAACTTTTCATTGTTCTTCCATATTTGATTTAATCCCTTTCTTGGCCAGGTAAAGTTGAATCAGTCCATTATTACAAATTCTGGATTCTCATCCACCAAATTGCTCAAGTAGCTGTCTGGAAATTTCATTGCTAGGAATCATGCTTCGAATAAAACAGCTCAAATTGCTTAATATGATAAAGACTGATATTTGGAAATTTCATTGTTGATTTCCTAGGTTCTGTTACTAATTATATGCTGGATCGCATTGTCATGTTTATGACGTGTTTTTCAGGTACCATGGATCCCTTTAGAGGACAAGGAGGAATTCAGATGCTGTTAACCGCAGAACAAGAAGCTCAACACATCGTTTCTAATGCAAGAAGCTGTGAGATCCAATGGCTTTTATCACGCAATCTTAAAGTTTCATTTCTTATCAGTTGACTCGATTCATGCCACAGTTGGTATTTTTCATTCAAATATTCAGAAATATTGTGCTTGTCATGAATCAGAATCACAATCTGTATAGTTTCTTTTCCTTTTCTCTGGCTAATTAATGTCATGCATACTACATGTTTGTGTTAACTCTCCAGTGAGAACTCAAAGATTGAAGCAGGCAAAAGAGGAAGCCGAGAGAGAATCAGCCATGTACAAATCCCAGCTGGAAAATGAATACCAAAAGAGTCTTTCAGAGGTATTGTCTATATATAAAACGTTAAAACTGTAGCAGCCATACCATCACCAAGATATAAGCAATGCAACTCATTCTGAGTTTCCAGCGGACGCACAAAAGTTTTCTTTTTTTAAAAAAAAAAACTATTCTGCATATTTTATTTGAGTAGGCAAACCCTAAAAACTCAGGATTCACCAGTTGATCTTTCAAAATAATGGATTTGAATAATCTCTTCATCCTTTTTCTTATTTTCTTTCTTCTCATTCCATCCCTACCATGGAGTCCAAAAAATGAATGGTTGAGATTCAATATTTTATAAAACCATTTTTTTTCAATCTCCAGGTAGTCTATAGTTGTAAACTATCCACTGTATATTTTTATATATATAACTTATTTTTTTTATTTTTATGTAATATTACAATCATAATTTTTATAAGTTATTAAATCTCAACCGTTCATTTGGTAATCTAATGGTAAAAATGAGGCGAGCAGAAAGGAAAGGAGAAAAAAAAGAATGACGAGAGGGTCCAAATGCCAGAATAGAGTGATGGATTAAAAGAATGTGTGATGAGCTTTATACCTGAGAACTTAATGATTTTTTAGTACGTAATGCTACATAAGCATAAGAGTTCAGTATCTGAATCATTATTTCCCGTTTTTATTTTATTTTTTCTGCTTGCTTATGGTTCTATAGACTAGTGGGAACTCTGGATCCAATGTGAAAAGACTTGAAGAAGAGACTGATGCTAAGATCAATACTCTAAAAGCATCAGCTTCAAAGGTCTCTGCAGAAATCGTTGACATGTTGCTCAACCATATTACTTCTATCAAAGTCTAATGCCCTACAAGGTCAGTAAATTGACGAGTTCTTTCGGTCACATAGTTTTTTTCAGCAAAAGTATGTGAAAGTTTTAAAAGTAAAAGATGTGACAGTATAATTTCGAAACAAATTCAAAGAATATCAATGTAATCTGCTTTTATGCTAGTACGCCTGAATGGTTTATGATATCTAATTCAATACAAAAACTTGATTGCTTCAAGAATATCAATATAATTAAATAGCAGATATAATGTCTATAGGCTTATAGAGTCCAAAATGATGCAGCAAGACATACCAATTATAAAACCCCAGATCAAAGAATCTATATCTAAAACACTGCATGAAGATCAATAGAAGATCATTTGAGAATGAGTTACGTTTTGAGTAAATGTTTCTTTTAAAATAAAAAGCCTGATGCATATAAAACGCATAAATTGTATTATTCATTTGACAGTTCTTCCATTTACTAATTCCTTGTAGATTCTAATAGAATGCATGAAGTTCCCTAACCACCTAACCAATTCTCTTGACATCCCTCATCACCATGTAACGGTTTGTGTTTTCTTATGATTCAGAGATTGATGAAGAAGCCAATAGAAGGAGTCGCCTACAATAAAAGCAACAAAGCTATTGAAATTCACTTCCAGAAGCATTTGCTATTTCACTAATATGGTGTGTTGTTTGGACAGAAAGACCAGATTAGAGGGTTTTCTTTCATCATAATTCTTAGTAATATCAATCTCCATTTTTGTTTTTAAATACTCTACTTAAAGGTTATAGTTCTATAATTAACTGTCAGTTCCAGCGCCAATCATGGAGCCACATGCATTGATCTGGCCTTTGTATCGGTTTATAAGTTGAGCAGCAGAGAATGACAAAGCTAGCTATATAAATTCTATAGCAGAAAAGAACTTTAACTTCAATAGATAACAAAACGTTGTTACATATACACTTTTTCAGACTAAAATCAATATATCAACTCAATATCTATAATACAACACTATTCATAAATTACAAATAATGCAACTCATTTCTCAAACTTACTGAGACCCATATTTAGTTTTATAAGCAAGTTAATATTTTCATGTTTGGTCTCACTAACTCAGTCCTAGATCCATTCCAATGACTAGGTCTCACTATCTTTCCAAATCTGAATGATTCTATAATTTTTCTTTCACAAAGAGGAGAGAAGCAAAATAGATGCTGATGTAATGATTATTATCGTGACGTTGCTTGTATCAAAGATGTCAGAGATGGATGAATACGGGCTCTCTTTACAGAGGGAGCTTCACTTCTTCCTTCTGCATACTCTTCCCCTAATGGCCACCGTGGGCGTACATCATACTGCAATGGGTACCAAAATGTAAATTTTAGCTGCTACTCAAATGTCAAACACTATAAGTCAAATCTTATGCATTGAATGTGACTATATGTCAAACTCTTGTCTCATCTTTGCATCAACCAATCTTTTTCATGTTTCTCTCTAATACATTATCTGCACTTATTTTTATAAATTATATCTGGATTGACAAAACACAAGCATAACAATGCCTATTCAAGCTGAGAGGAATCGCCAAATGCACAATTTACCCGCTACTAGAACCAAAAAAAAAAGGATTTTGAGAATAAAAAAATTTTTTATCTCATTGTTTTAACCAAAAAAACAAAAAAAGATAAAAACTGTTGAACAATGGTTAGAATAATGTGACAGAAACTGCAAGGGAGAATGGGAGGAAGTTGGCTGACATAGCACCTTTTTAAGTCAAATTAGATTGTCATTAGATTAATATATTGTTTAGCATCATGACATCTTACTCAAAATTATGAGTTCCAATAGATCAGTCCACGTAATGTCACTGTTTGCAAAACTTACCACAAAGTCTTCAGGTTCTTGTGGAGGAGGAGGAGGGTCATATCTTCCCATGCGAAAGTGCTCAATGCCAGTCCAAGCAACCATTACCCCTAGTCAGTTCAAGAGCAAGGTGTGGGTTATAACCAACAAATCCGCACACCTCTCTGAGAAAGATCAAGAATATTAATAAACAAAACTAAATCTTCTCAACCGAACTAGTTTGCCAAAGAAAGTTCCATTTCATAGGTTTTGTCTCGGGAAATAAGACCACTTTCTTTTCTTTTCTATTCCCGCTTTTCCTTTTGACAATCTCCATTATATCTTTATAAACAATGTTCAACAATGTTAATTTAAAGGTCATTTTCTATGTTCAAAATCACTTTGTTTTTGTTTTCCAATTTATTTCAATTCATTCTCTGTACCAAACAAGTCCGGGATTCTAGAAGATAATTATAATTTTAATTCTTGACAAATAGATGGATGCTCAATCTAATACCCCAATCATCAAAATGCTGCAAGATTGCCCTTCCACCCCATTCTCATGAGTTGTCAGTGTCCAGTAAACAAAAATACTCCAAGTCAACAAACAGGGAGACACTGCAAGCATTTTAATGATTGAGACTAAAATGTAAAAGAATATTGGCTAAGACCAAATTGAAAATTTACATATCTGTTGATAACTAAAACTGGAAATAAGTTATTACCATTGTCAGTACAAAGGCCGGGAGGAGGGCATACTAGTTGTAGGCCATTCTTCTTTACAACCATATCAAGCCGAGACCTAACATATTGATTTGATGCAACACCTCCTGAGACTACCTGCAATTAAAAGTATAAAAATGAACGGCATTCCACTTTTTCAGTTAACCATTAACAAAAAATTAAATGCACTGACATTGCAACTACCAAGTATTTTAAAGAAGGCTCCATCTTCAACGCCCATTGTATTGCTCGTTCACATCTTTCCTCAAGATGTAATACTGCAACCCGCTGCTTGACATGCAGCAAAAGCCAATTGATAAGGCATATATGAAGCTAAACCATCTAAGTTGATGGGACGTAAAAAAGAAGGAAATTGTAAAAGCGATATCACAGATACTGAAGTCAATTAACTAGAATCAATCAGAAGGAAAAGGTATTTGTATTTTACATTGCATAACCTATAAAACATGAAAACTAACCTGAAAGGAAGCAGCAATATCAGCTCTAGAAACTCGGTCCTCATTACTTGCAGAAGAAATGGGAATTTTAGCATCACTGTCCATGGCCCATGTTATAAGTAAGTGGAGAGTCTATTTTACTTTACTTTACTAGATACTTCCTTAAATGCAATGATTAAATCATGTAATATTTACTCATCTGTTAAAAACCAAGACTCTGATAAGTAATATTCGAGTCAAAGCGATTATATAGAACAAAACATAAATACTACATATGTAAAATACTCAAAGCAATCAGTCCATCGCAACAGAAAGGACTTGTACTAGGACAGCTCAAAACCACACGGTCCAGAATGCCATGTAACAAAATTAAGTAGAAAACACATGCTAAGCCTTAGTCCATCATACTTTTGTTTCCATTACAGAAAAGATATCGATAATTGCACCTTGAAATATTTACATACATTTTTTTAGATTCAATCGCTAGCCTCACTTGGGTTTTCAGGCCAGCGTATGAGAAGTTGCAATCTTTGTGATGCTTCATTGGAACCTAGAAACATGGCAGTAACAAATTTAAGTGACCACAGGTAAGCCATGGGCACAGTAATTTCTTAAAACGATCAACAATCAGCTATTTACACATCAATCAATTAATAGTGAGTGAAGAAAGTAGCTTCAAGCATCTGTTATCTACCATATACAGATATGGCCAAGACTTTGTGTAGCTTTCTTACACTTGACAATAAGATGTTGCGAGCTACACAACAAGTTTACCATATATGTCTTTGTGCACATGCGTGTTCTTTATTTATAGTGGAAACTGAACTATTCATTAAATAGAAGGTAACCTCTTATGCTACTCACTAAAAAACGAAAGCAAACAGGTGTAGAAACTGTCACCTTAACATATTACATGAGATTGTGTTTTCCCAATATAACAACCCCAAAACATCTCAACACTCTCTAATCATGCACTTCTGGATAAATTTTAATTAAAAAAAAAAGATAAAATTTTAGGGAAAAAAAAGGTGGGTTGCAAAAGAGGCCTAATGGCCATTGTCATTAACAATTATGGGAATATCTATCATGTCCAAGAACATACACAAGAAGAATGCAAATAAGACATGCAGGAGAAGAATGGAACACATGGCAACCAATTTGCATATTGTTGGGGTATTTCCAGAAAAGATGAAAGAACAAGAGGGAAAAGGGAGAGATTAGGAAGAAAGGGGAATTCAGAGGAAGAGGGAACAGAGGAGAGAGTTGATAAAACTGAATATACTTCTATTATTCAGAATGCAACATATAGTCTGATTACAATAGACCTCCTAAGCTTCTATTACTAACCCTATATGCATGGGGTATCTGCATTGCCAATTATGAGCTAAAGGAGCCTTATGTCTCATTGGACCTTATGTGATTTTGCTGAATCATCACCGCCAATTCACTATGGCTTTGTAGCTGCAAGTGCTGGGGACCCAGAGACCATGCAAGCTGAAGGATGTATCGCCCATAGCTCAGCCTTTGCGATACTCCCATGGTCAATGTTGTGGCAGACTGCAGGAATCCAGCTCACTTCATTGTCTCCTGGATAAGTTAGTCACTCCCACGCTCCTACCTATATTCCCAATCTGTCCTTCCAGCTCACCATTAATATTCCTATCCCTCATATTCTTCCTTGCATAAACCATGCCCATTCATTATTTTCCTTGGCCCTCTTATTCATTCTCTAATAAAAATGACGTTAAATGTCAAGTCCATGATACATGCTTATAATGCTTTCATTAGAGAACTGGATAATAAGGATATAAATAATTGCATAGAAGTCTACTACTGGAGTAAATTCTCCATGCATACCATGGGTCATAAACTACAGAACTTACAGAAAAACTAACTGATTCTGCATTACCCTCACGGGCAAGCTCCTCTAGAGCAGGACCACCACTCCTCCTCATATCAAGTCCCAGCCATTTAGCTATTTTGTCATATGCCTCCCCAATAGCATC